CCAGCCTGCTCTACTTAAGGATTTAGCAAGATTCTGTTTCTAAATTTTAAAATAAGTCTGGGTTGGCTAGATAGTTCAGTGGATTAAAGCGCCTGCTTAGGCAGACACAGGGCCCGGGGTTCAATCCCTGGCTGGCCATGCCATCCTGACCCCACTGAGACAGCAATTGAGACTGGGCCTGGTGGCACACACCTGTAATCCTAGCGTTTGGGAGGCTAAAAACCAGGATCACTACAAGTCCAGTCTGTGTTGTGAGACCCTGTAGACCCTGTACTAAATACATAAAAATAAAATAAAATAAAATAAACCTGGAGGTTTAACTCAGTGCCAAGAACCTGAGCTCAATCCCTAGCACAAAAAAAAAGGAATCATCCCTAGCTAGCTGGGTGGTGGCACACCCCCGTCATCCCAGCACTCAGAAGGCTGAAGCAGGAGGATCGGAGTTCGAGGCCAGCCTGGGCTACATAGTGTACCTAAAGCCAGCAGCCGGGACCCTCCTCACCATCGCACTTCCAGCCCAGTGCTCTGCACACTTGAATGACAAGGGCTCCCGGGCACCGGCTGGCAGCACCTGCCTCCCCTGTGGCTCTTGCCTGGATTAATGGGTCTTCAAATGCCCTTTAAACAGATCGCTCCCTTCCTGCCCACCTCTGCTGCCACCGAGCCCACAGCCGGCCCTGTCTGTCACCCAGTTTAAATCCTCTTCAATCCTCCTCCTTCCTGGTTTATTTTCAGCCACTGTGGGCGCTGGGTTAAAAACAGGAAGTGGTTGAAGTCGGTCAAGGTAGAGCAGACATCATGCGTCCAGGCTCTGATTCTCCTCCAGCCCTGCGGGAGGAGCGAGTGGGGACAGCGGAGGGGCCGTGTGTGGGGACAGGGCCACAGTGGCAGCAGGGCTGGGGTTTGCTGGGACAGCAGCGCTGGGGCCTGCAAGACCCAGGACTCCTGGATGCAGAGATTGAGCTTCACCCTCATTCAGTGAAGTCGGGGCCCACCGGGGCAAGCACGGGACTCGCACCGTGTGTCCTCGGGTGGGGACAGCAGCCCGCAGGTGTGCATCCGGCCCAGTGTCCACGATGCCCTGGCCCACGAGTCCAGGAACTCAGGGCCGGCCTGGGCCACACAGAGAAACCCTGTCTCAAAACAACTAAGCAAAAATAGTAAATTAATCAAACTTGTATGTAATGTACACCAAGAGGTCCTAGTGGACTTTTGTTTAAGACAGGAAGTTTTACTTTATTTTGTTTGGAGAGAAGGTCTTGCTATGCAGTCAGGCTGGCCTTGAACTCACTGTGTAGCCCAGGCTGGTCTCAAACTCACAGCAATCCTCCTGCCTCAGCCTCGAGGGTCAGGATGACAGGTGTGTGCCACCACACCCGGCTGGTGTCCCTAATTTTGAGTGAAATAAATCAGACACATAAGTTAAACATCACACAAGTTCTCTCCTGTGAGCAGCCCGAGGTCTAAGTAACTTAAAGAGGGAAACAAAATAGAGGCTGGGAACAGGGAAGCGGACGTGGTGGAAGGGAGGGACAAGGTTGGGGACTGCAGCACCCAGAGCCATGCAGGTCCTGCAGTCCCTGCCATGAGTGTGTTTGTTATGCACTGTACATAAGTATAGAAAATATTTTTAAATGTATTTAGTATAGCATCTCACTAAGTAGATTGGACTTGTAGTGACCCTCCTGTTTTCAGCCTCCCAAGCGCTGGGATTACAGGTGCACGCCACCACGCCCTGTCTCAATTGCCACCTCAGTGCACCCTGGGGTGGGGCTGGCATGGCACACTGGGGATTGAACCTCGGCCACTGCACTCTGCCTAAGCAGGCACTTTAGTCCAGTGAGCTATCTGGCCAGCCCTAAGAACATAATTTTTTTTTTAATTTTATTTATTTATTTATTTATTT